TCTCCCCTCAAATATCTGTAAGGACACTTGTCATTGGATTCAGGGAGCACACTAATTCAGGATAATCTCATCTCAAGATCCTTAACTTAATGACATCGGCAAATATCCTTTTGCCGAATAAGGTCACATTCACAGTTCCAGGTGGACATACCATTGGTGGGGGAGGGACACCACCATTTAATCAATACAACGTGTAAAGGAAAATCAAGTACACCCGAATAAGAAAGGCAACCAACACCTCCACGACACTTGTAGGACAGATAAAATAGACTGCGATTGTGAGCTAGGAGCAAGATATTAGATTAGAGTCTTAGTTCTGTCAATAATGGTGATTCTGCGATCTTGGCCAAGACCCTGCCTTTCGCAGGCCTGATTTCTGCATCTCCGAAAGGAGGAGAGGAATTCATGACTTATTCCAGCACTGCCGCTCTGGTTCCACGGGGGCAGCCTTTCCTCTAACCAGCTCTCACATGTGCTCGTGTGTGCAGACACATGCGTGCAGAGCACTCCCTGCCCTCTGGCAGATCAGGCCAGACAACTCCCAGACCCAATCGTGATTTCCACACTGAATCTAGAATTTATTCTTTCTCATATGGGGAGTCTGGAAGCTAGCTTCCATTGTGTCATGTTTGACTTGGCCGGAGAAATAAATTTGGCAGTGCTTAAAAATGCCACACCTTTATATTCTGAGTTTTTCCACAATCTTGGGATCCTGGATTTTGGAACGCTTCTTTCCTATTTTCCAAATGAGTATTTCAGTCTCAGTCTTCAGCGTGCCCGCTGCTCTTTCTGCCTCAGGAGTGGTCTACATTTTAGATGGTGTGTCCTGGCCCTGGTAGATCACTTAAAAAGGAGTGATGGATAAGGGAGAGAGGCTTGGAAATTTGGCAGCATCGTTTCTTCATGGAACTGACGGTTTAATGACCAATATTGGAAAGTATATCACAATCCTACTCCAGAAAACATGTGTGCATTTAATTTTGGTAGATTAAGTGCTCCTTATTATCCTATCCTTCTACATGTGAGGGCTGGGCAAAGGAAGGGTTTAGTCATGGAATCATAGAATGGACGAGCTGGAGAGACTGACTGCAATCTTTTCTGTGTGTCTGCATTTTTTGAAAGCCTAAGTTCTGTGAGAGTACAGGGGTCTCGTCCATCTTGTTCATGGCTATATCCTCAGCACCTAGCTCGAGGTTTGGCACATAGTAGGCATTCATTAAATTCTGATTATGAATGAAAATGAATGTATGAATCAGATTCTTAGGAGTGCAGCTCTCATGCAACATCCTCATTTCTGGTTCATTTTCAGGAGGCAGAAATGTTAGTAGGCTAACACTTTCTCTGCTGAAGAACTGATGATCTAAAAATGATTAAAGGTATCAAGGGAATTCTGCTCCTAGTAGCTCTGAGCTCCTTCCATTAAAGAAAATTAGTTAGAAAAATTATTTAAAAAAAAAAATAACCCTCTAGTTACCTGTTTCATACATTTAGGTATTTTGATGTTGATTTTTCTTAAACTTCTGTCTTTGCCTCCACCTTCTCCCTACTGAGCATCCACCTAAACACACACACACACACACACACACACACACACGCACGCACACACACACGCACGCACACACGCACACACACATACACACAGCAGCAGCAGCAGCAGCAGCAGCAGCAGCAGCTGGGGAAGGTATGGTCTCTTTGTCACCAGATCCTCGCCTACAGAAACAAGCAAGGTCTTGTGCCGCCACCTAGTGGAGCCTTGTCATCCCTGCAGTTCCTCACAGCTTCTGAGGGAGCCGAGGAAAGCAAGCTGCAGACATAAGGTACTCTGAAAATTGCCCAGTTCCACAAGACCTCTGAGACCCACTCTGGAAGTGACCCAGAGGAGAAAGGAAGGTGAGCTTGGGGATGTGCCCATCTTTGGTCGGTGCCCTTCTTCTGCAGGGCTAGGTGGCCAAAGGCTGCCCTGTGTGGGTGACCCTGACCCGTCTGAAGGAAGTGATGTCATGGCCTCCTCAGAGATGCCTTTGACAAGGAGGGCGAGGGTGGGGAGAGTGGAATGGGTGCCAGGGTGAGACAGACAGTCCTTGTTTCCTGGGAAAAGTCAGGAGTTGTTTAGAAAAGATCGCTTGCCTCACTTTGGACTCTCCCTTTGGGCGTTCCTTTAGCGAATTGTCCCTTGGGACGGAGAAACTGGAATGACTGTGGAGGACACAGAGAAGGGTCAGCAGAGCGGCTAGCAGAGAACAGGGGCCAGCAGAACTCAGCAGGCACTGAGCAATGGCATCTGATGAGGAGACGTTTGGGCCACAGCATTGAACGAGGCTCCTAGGAGGAGACCCTCTGGAATCTTCCCACATGGTCTCGGGCTTCCGAGATCCTTCAGATCTGGGCCCCAGGAAGGAGGTGGCGCTTGGAGACAGAGGTAAAAGATCAGCACCAATCAGACACACACCAAAACTGACATCTTCCCCCAAGTTCATACATCATCCTGCAGGTACCATGATGAATGGCACCCTTGTGTGACATCACCTTTCCTTTGCTAATTTTATGTTTTCACATAAATAAATATATTTATTTCTGATGTGTACTACAGTGGAAGTTATCTTTAGTCCTGGCTCTGAATTTTACCCAGGATATAGGTCTATGTAAGCCCTTTTCAGGTGCCTACAAATTCTGCCTGTAAATTCTTAGGTTTCTCCACTTAAACTCAGCTTGCCCTCAGCTCTGCTCTTCGTGCTGCTCCACACCCACTGACCTTGCCAAGTATGTTCGAAGAGCAATTTATTCTGACCACTCTGTCCTTACTCTATTCCAATCTGGCTCTGTCCTTACCTTTTCATGGAAACTGCCCTTTTAGAGACTGCTCATGACTTTCTCATTGCCAGACCCACAGGCCTCATTAATAATAACATGTCTGGTTTGATATTTTATACAGTCACAGCCCCTGGTGTTCGAAGATGTAACTTTATTTTCCTAGAACTGACCTCAGACCAGCAACCCAATATCCAATGTCTGCTTGGCAGCAGAAAATGTAGCCTTCCTAATTCAGGATAAACTCAGACAGTTCTGTTTTAAAACAGGATCAAATGTGGTCTCTTTTGGGTAGCTATCCAGGAGTTTCCCTCTTCTTATGCCCTCTACTTCTTTTATGCATCTGGAGGTTGGAGCTTTTGCGTCACCCTAATTTGGGGGGTGGGGGAAAGCAGTGTCCGGCGCATCATGATGCTCTGTCCACACCAGCTTCCACTGACGGGCAACTCTTTCCACATGGTCCCATTGTCCTGAGCCAGCATCAGTTCCCGATGTCCAAGTTTCCACCATCACCTCCCTTTGCATCCTCACGATCCAGACTCCAGCTCCTTCAGGTCTATTTGTCTGGTTCAGCACCTCTTACAGGAACCTCTTAGTAACCACAGGAACTTTTCAGATCTTTCCCGACCCTGACAAGATGCCCGGGGGTCTATGTGGCGACCGTAGACTATGGCTGCTCTGCTCTTCCAACAGAATTCTGGATGTGACAATTCTCCCAGGAGTTGTCCTTCTCCCTGGGACATTCCGAGAGGAGAGACACACACGCCCTCAGCTATGGCTTCTTTGGTGGCGTTAAATTTCATTGACTGTGACTACAAGAGAAAACACATTTCACATCACGGCTGAGTACACGTGCAAGACACAAATGAAGCAACAGCCTCATGAAACAATATTTAGCGTTCTTCCTCGCAATGTATTCTATTTTCTATTCCATTCATTTCATTTCTTTTCATGCTGGTTTTAACCTAATACATCACTTTTATGATCCAAGAATAGGTCTCAACCCACAGTTTGAAAAACACTGCCCTCATAGAAGGTTTCCATGGTCCACTTCCCCTGGGGCTTGGTTCTGGGCCCCATACCAAAAATCAGAAAACAGTTCCACACTTGTTTTATTCTAAAAATGGACAGCTTTCAGAATAAAAGAAAATCCTGTCTTTCAAGATGTTGTCGCAACTATAAGTTTAAAATAAATCCATTCAGATATTCAATGGACTTTTATTCTCAGCTTTATTTTGTGTCTGAGAACAATGTGTATAGCATATGACAGAATGGTAGAAAAAAGGCTAGTTGGCATCCAGAAGCACAAAGAAACAAAATCTCAGTTAATATTTCCAAACACTGTATGTTCTATTGGTAATAGTAATAATAACAGCTAATAACGATTGAGTTTATATTATGGGTCAGACACTGTGCTTAGCATTTTACATTTATTATTTCAGTTAATCCTCATAACATCTTGATGATAGCTACAAATATTATCTCCATTTTACAAAAAGGAAACAAAAGCTAACCTAAGTCCGACCCCTCCCTCCACATCTCTCCTGTCCATTTCTTCCTCTGTGCTCACTCCAGCTCTGTAAGATGAAGGATGGGTCTAGACTATCTCTTTCAGCCCCCAAAGAGCCCAACAACCCTGTCAAAGGCACAGCTGCTTTCTACTAAGTTTGAAAAGCAATGATCTTATTGCAAGGTTGCAATTCTACCTGCACATGGTCCCTCCTGCTGTTCTCAGTCACTCCCCAGCCAGGGCTCCCTGTGCCCTAGAACTTGAGGTCACCCACACTCTTCTCCCCACCTTGAAGGCACTGGGCGTCCTTCCTGGTTCTTAGCAACCTGAAGGCCCTTATAGGAAATGCCTTTAGTAACTTCTCTTTATTTTTTCTAAAACCCACATCTATAAAAGGGAAAAGATGCCTGGATAACGCAAACAAAAAGATAACTACCAACTATTGATATTTTCCCTATTTGTTTAGTTCATTCATTCAGCAAATATTTATTGAATCTATAATAGGCACTATTCTACATACTGCTAGAGATTTGGTGAACAAGACTTGCCCTTTTGGAGTTCACATCCTGTAGGGGCTGGTTTGCGGGGAGGACAGACACTGACTGATACTTTTCAACCTTCTTTTAAATCATAACTTCCAGGAGGAAATACTTTTTGCACAGTAATGAAGGACGTTCCTTATTCCCCTCCTGTGCTCCACGCAACAGAATCAAAAGTTTTGTAGAACAACACTTATTATGTATAAAGAAACTAAAACCACAAAATTATTAATTTACTTTTATTATTAATTACTAATACTTGAATGAAGATTAGAAAAAAAATTCCCAAATAAACAATATAAAAACAAGAATTAGGCAAGATGTTTTTTAATGCATAGGCGTGCTTATCTGCCGCTCAGTTTATTCCAGTCCAGAACATAAAGGACAATACTTCATGCATAAACTCATGAGATGGTTTCTCTCCTTTGTTTTAATCAGTTTTAATGGTTGAAAATCCTGGTTCATACAAATAGGTTATTTTGAATAATAGTATCAATGCATTCTTTTTACCTAGCAATGAAAATGCTTTGTTAATCTTACTCTAAAATGATGATGAATTTACTGTTTTGTGATCATTCTTTAGTGCAAACTAAGCTGCAAGGATTCATTTGCCTCTTTTTGGGCACCAAGTTTAGGTCTTTTGACCTAAAAGAAAATGATTTTTTCCATCTGAAAAATTTTCCTATTATTTAAAATTTTTCTTCTGGTAAATAATGGCTACAAGTTTAAAACTGAGAATTGAAATGTAACAATGTCCCTAATTTTATTTCAGTCCCTGTCTACTAACGTCCTCTTCAATGTGTCACAACAATATTGGGAAAAACAGGAGCGAAGGTGGTTGCTTAAGTCTTAACTTGCCATGACAAAATGCCTTTTGGAATTCTGGATATGTTCGACTTGCTGAATTTTATTGTTGTTTTCTCCATAAAGTTATCACTGTAAGTTCATTAAAAATATCATCAGTTAAATATACTAATTTGAAATCCCAAACCTCATCTTTGACAAAGAGATTACCTGCCAAATGACATTGCTTTCCAGCGAGAAAAATGTGACTGTCATTATGAGTTTATTAACACTGCTCAATACTTTCCCCTGGATTCCCTCAGGACAATCCATGAAC